TGTGTATTGAGGTGTAACGGTGTTGACGGTGTTGAGGGGAGTGATGTGTTAGGGGCGCGATGGTGCAGGTGATGGTTTCTGACGATGCTGATGGGGCGATGGTGTTGATGGGGCAATGCTGCTGGCGATGCTGTTGATGGTGTTGACGGAGCGATGGTGCTGACAGGGTTGTGGTGCTGCTGATGGTGTTGCCGAGATGCCGCTGATGGTATTGACGGTGCAGATGGCGCGATGGTGTTGTTGGGTCAATGCTGCTGGTGATGGTGTGATGTTGACGGAGATACCTGTGATGGTGTTAATGGGACAGTGGTGCTGTTGATGTCATTGGCGGGGCGTTTGGTGTCGGTGGTGTTGTGAATACGGTGCTGACGGGGCGATGGTGTTAAGTGGTTGGTGTTGCCACTGGCGGGAAGGAGCGCGTCGGGGAGATGGAATGCGCGCGTGTTGAGTGACGTCACGGGCCGTTATCGGCGTTTACGAGCAGTTACTGGGCTGTTTTTGTTGTTGTTGTTTTGATGGTTTGGCCTCGTTTTGACCGGTTTCGTCGGTGGCCTCCTAATCCACACCACCACCCTCACCACCCCCATCAACATTACCTACACCACCTATTAACATTATCAACACCACCATCAGGATCACCACCACCACCTACTACCACCATCATTAACATTATCAACATCACCACCACCATCCATCAGCACTACCACCACCACCATCAACATTATCAACACCACCAACACCCATCACCACCACCATCAACACTATCAACACCCCCACCCAGCATCATTATTCATCCCAATTACCTCCGCCACCTCGATAACACCAGCTGCCTCGGAACTGTATATCGCCGCAGCGCCAATAAATCTTATCCGGGCGCCGTCAACACCGCTTTTTATATAATCCTCGTGAGATATGAGTCTTTCTTGTATTCGGTGTTTGATTGGCATGAAATATGTGGGTGGTCTTTGGCGGAGGGATCGGGTGGTGAATAGTCGGTGTGGAGAGGCTCGGTGTTGGGGGTAAAAAGGCGGTCGTTTTTGGAAGGGGTTGGAGGGTTGGTGGGGTGTCATGGGGGTTGGTATTGTCGTGGGGATTGGTATGGTGTCATGGGGGGTTGGTATGGTGTCATGGGATGGTATGGTTGGTTGTCATGGGGTTGGTATGGTGTCATGGGGGTTGGTATGGTGTCATGGGGGTTGGTATGGTATGGTGTCAAGGGGATTGGTATTGTCATGGGGATTGGTTCGAGGTTGCTGTGGGTGTTGTGGGAGTCGTTTTGAGGGTATTATGAGGGCTGTTATGCTGTCTTTAGGATTGGGATGATGATGATAATGATGATGATGATGTGTGTGTTTTATGAGAATTTGGTACGAGTGCTTTGACGATTGATACGAGGACTAACGAATGTGAATAATGATTGGTATGCGGATTGATAAGCGTTATGAGGGTTGGTACGCGTCTTGATAGGGTTGGCGCAAGGATTACCCCGAGGCACGTGATAAGCGCAAGTCCCTGGCGCCGCCTTTGTGCCCCCGGGCTTATCTTAACGAAGGCCTGGATAAGAGCGGCCGGGCCAGCGCCACGTCCAAGGGCTCAGCTGGCGGCGGCGGATGGCGTCGTGCCCGGCCGTCCGTCTGGTTGCGCCGGATTTTAATTGCTGGTATCGAAGATTTTTTCTTTGAGTTTGCTTTTTGTCTGTTTTTTTTTTTTTTTTTTATATTGTTTGGGTTTATTCTTTTGGTTTTGGTTTTGTTTTCTTTTTTTTTAGTCGTTTGTTTTTGTTCTTTGGTTTTATTTTGTTTTCTTTAAATATTTTTTGTGTATTCTTTGGTTTTGTTTTGTTTTTAATAATTTGGTTTTATTCTTTTCTTTTCTTTGTTTTTTAATCGTTTGTTTTTTTTGTTTTCTTTTGTTTTTTTTCCCTTCCTTTTCTTTCGTTTTGTTTTCTCTTCGTCATCGTCTGCTCTTTTCTTTGTTCCTTTTACTTTTTTTTTTTTTGTCTTTTCTCTCCCTGACGAATCCAGTGATGACTTGCTCACTGCTTCACAGATCTCGCCGAGCCTTTGTCTTTTGTTGCTACTGTTGTAGTTGTTATTGTTTTTGTTTTGTTGATGTTTTTGCTTTTTTGTTTTGTTTTTGTTTTTTGTTGTTTGTTTTTGTTTTGTTTTCTTTTTGTTGAATCTATCTACCTCTCACTATGCGTCGCCATTTCGTCTTCTTTCTCTTTCCGTTCTTTGTTTTCCTTTGCGTCGGAGACGTGGAAGAAGGAGAGGGAGAGAGAGGAAGCTGAGGGAGAGGAGGAGAATAAGAGAAATAAGAGAAGAGTAGGAGAAAGAGGAGAAGAATAGAAGGAAGAAGAGGAAGAGGAAAAGAAGAAGAAGGAGAAGGAAGGAGGAAGAGGAGGAGAGGAGAAAGAGAATAGGAGGAGGAGGAAAAGGAAAAGGAGGAGAAGGAGAAGAGGAGGAGAAGGAGAATAGGAGGAGGAGGGAGGGGCGATCCGAGAAAGGGTGAATGGCCGCGGATTTTCTAAGGAATCCGAGAAACGAGAAACTTGTAGACTGCGTATTGATTACGCCCGCACGAGCGTTTGGATGAGAGAGAGAGGGAGAGAG